AGCTGTGTGTGATTGGTTTCAGGTGAGCTTGTGATTAGTGCAATGGAGCATGGGAAATGTAGTCTAGGGTGATGTGTAACAGTCTGTGTAGTGTGAGAGTCCGTGTGGAGAGCGGGTGACCTCTGGTGGTGAGTGAACGGAAGTTTATAGGCCGGATTCGTGACAATAATATAGTAAGTTTTAGCAATATTTTGAAATTACATTTATATTAATTTTTTTATTTTATTTTAAGTTTTAGTAAGTTGTTGTGTGTTTGAATCATTATTATTATTTTTACATATATAAAGATATGTAAAGGTATTATATTTTTATTTATTATATTTATTTTATATTAAATATTTTAACAGTGTTTCTAAGTGATATTTTATTTATTTCAGTTAAATTAATTAATTTTAAGTAACAATTTTTACGGTTTTGATTTCAGTTAATTATGATAACCCTGGCCTGTCACTGTACATCTGTGAATGTCAATTTTAAAATAGATTATTGTTTAACTTAAGGTTTTTATTTGTCAATTTTTCACAATAGGGATGTACATTCATTGTACAAGTACAAATGATTATTGTACAAGTTGTCAGATTCTGCAACACCTTTTCTTCCGTAGATTGTCTGCATTTCTCAATCCAATCGAACAAGCTGACATTTTGCAAAGATTATGTGATTGAGTTGGCCTAGTTTTGCTGTTTATCTTAAGAAAACACATGTTTGTTGTGCTTTTGTGGACGTCTGTGGATCCAGCTTGTCTTGCGCTGGTCAGAAGTGTTGTTCGGTCACACATAACCTGCTTTTATTCAGGTCAAAAGAAGCTGTGAGGAAGATGAAGGGAATCCAGGAAACAGATTATTGAAGTCAGTCCTCAGACGGATGTAGGAGAGTGTCGGGTCAGCGGCCGGTCATGTATGAATAACACTGTATTGCACTTCTCAAAGTCTGTGAATCTGCTGCTGAGATGCAGACGGAAGTTAGACGACAAGATGTTGAACTCAAATAGCTGTGTTTCTGAATAATCATTTATAAAGTGCTCATAATTATCAGAGCAATCTGAACAGCGGATTCACAGTCCAGCTTGTCATCCAGTTTCTCAAAGTATGTCTGTAACGCTGATGAATACAAGCTCAGTGAAGCTTTGCTCCATCATCGGCAAACTCATTACTGTTCTGTAATTACAGGATACGGAAGAATCAAGAGACAAGCTCAATAAAATTAAGTTGTCTCAATGTGATTAATATGCTTTCAATTACCACAGTATTGAGCTTGAAGGAAATGCAGTTTGTGCCAATTGCTCTTGGCCAGTCCAAGCATATTATATATGTATATATGCATGTATTGTTATATATATAAGTGCCATGAAAAGGTTGGCTCAAGAAAAACATAATTAAGGTTTTGGAGTGGCCAAGTCAAAGTCTGGACTTAAATCCGATTGAGATGCTGTGGCATGACCTTAAACAGTCCATTCATGCTCGAAAACCCTCCAATGGGCCTGAATTAAAAAAATTCTGCAAAGAAGAGTGGGCCAAAATTCCTCCACAGCGATGTGAAAGACTCATTGCCAGTTATCACAAACGCTTGATTGCAGTTGTTGCTGCAAAAGGTGGCACAACCAGTTATTAGATATAGGCGGCAATTACTTTTTCATGTAGTGCCAGGTAGGTTTGGACAACTTTTTTCCCTTAACAAATGAAATCATTATTTCAAAAATGCATTCTGCATTTACTCGGGTTATCTTTGTGTAATATTGAAATTAGTTTGATGATCTGAACCATTCAAGTGTGACAAATATGCAAAAAAATATATATATACATATATATATTTAATTAATTTATTTTTTAGAATTTTTATTTTATTTTATAAATTCTAAAAATATTGAGAAACGGAATTGGATTACATCTGTAGGTCTTGCTCATTTTTTAAAATTAAAATAAAGAAATGAGAAATACTTGTATTAATATTTAATCATTTATTCATTCATTCATTTTTTTATTTTTTATTTATTCATTTATTCATTCATTTAAAATATTGCAAAAATTGAGAAATGGAATTGGATTACATCTGTATGTCTTGGCCATATTTTCTCAAATCAAAAGAAAGTAGCAATTATATTCTGCATAAAGAAAATAAGGACTGGTGGGATCATTAATTTCTTTTTATTTCTGTCACAAATAATAATTTTAATTGTACAGTATTTCTAGAGTTTTAAGGTAGTATTTCTTGGTCTTCCTTTAATTTGTGCTTATTTGCATAAAAAAAACCCATTGTGTTACATAACTGAGAATCTAATGAAAATAATTGAGAATAACATGAATAAAAAAAAAATGCACGCAGAACAGCGAAACAATGAAATGTAGAGGTAAATGTTCTTAATTGTCATAAAAATAATTGGATATGGTCCTAATTTAAAATGCAAAATAATAATTTATTTTATTCATTTTGGGAGAATATGACCTCTGCATGTTTTTGTAAGATTTGGCCAACGAAGTTTTTTGAATAAATAAATGATTGATTCCTGGATCTCCATGGCAGAAATGTAATTGACCTTTGCACTCAAATCAGTGAAAACCAGTCTGGCTTTAGGAACATATGAGTAAATCTTCAATTCAAAACCCAGATGACTATGACTTGTTTAGAACAGACAGACGTCAGTCATTCAAGTTAAGGTTATATGGGTAGATTTTAGTAATATTTAAACGGGTCATATGCTGTTGCTAAAAATAACATTATTTGGTGTATTTGGTGTAATGTAATATGTTTATGACTCCAAAGAGAAAGGAACAATTGAAATCGCATCATATGACCCCTTTAAATATGTGGTTTGGCATCTGCTTTGATATGCATGGTTATACATGGAAGCGAGGCACCTTTTACGTTGGCTTGCCAAACCGCCATAAAACACCAGAAGAAGAAGGTGCATGTGGAGAATGCATGTGACGTCACTCACTGGCTGAGGAAGCGCTGGTGAGTCGATGCTGCAGTTGACTTCCGCTTTCATTTTTCTCCGGCAGGATGTGTGTTCTTGATATGTGTTTGATAACTTTATTTTTAAACAAATTAAGTTGTTTCGTTGCTGTTTCGTGTTGTCTGTGGTTGATTTCAGCATTTGTGTTCACATAAGACTAAGATTGTGTAGCCTATTTGAGTGAATGCTGTTTCTCGACTCTCAGGATCCGTTCAGCTGAATGATTAGTTTGTCATTTCCACACAGAGTAAGTGCTGGAGATCTCACTCTTCATCATGAATCACACACAGACACCCCGAGATCAAGAGTTTTCTCCAGGATGCAGGTACTTTCAATACATACTATATTAACCCTAAAAAAAGCAAGACCATAAAGAGACATCAGGAAATTCATTTATTGCTATTTTGATCTTATTAGAACACAAATAATACATATTTGTTTATTTATTTATTAAAAAACAGTTTTATTTTTGATCTGAATGTTTGTATGTCACGTCGCCCCTTTGCGGTTATAATCTGATTGAAAACCGAATGCTTGTTTGGCAATGTGTTACAACATTTTAGCTACATTTAAAACATTTGTTGTAATATTGTGTTAAACAATCATGTCTATTTATTAATATATTGGCCTACTGTATCATATTTGATACACAAATTTCTAGGGCCTATAAATTATTAACATGATCAAAACTTTGCTGATAAACCTGTTGTACGCAATCTGCTTTTTTATCAAGTAAAGTATTTTCACTGTGAAATCTTTCATGATTTTTATAATTTAAATGTAAGAATAACTTTTATACTGTTAGTAATAATTCAAGATGAACATGTACTGGGCTGAACCAGCTTGAGTTTTCTTGATTTTGCATTTATAATTTTTATGTAAAAAAAAAAAAAAAAAATTTTCATGTTTAAAAGTAAATGTCGGATATGACACAACATGCTTTTGAGGAAGGTTTATTTGTCTCTCAATAATCACTGAATTGCAATTAATTGCTTATATGAGCCATTAAAACCTGATGTATGAAATACTATACTAAACAAAAACACATATGCAAACTATAGCCTATATATTTTGTACTAGGGCTGGACAATAATTCAATATCAATATATATCGAGATTTTTTTTTTTTTTTCAATAACGGGGATATGATTTTTAAACACATTACCGATATTTCAATATACATTACCAGTGTTTCCCATATACATTGATTTATCTGTGGCGGTTGACATGAGCACTACACTTTTCAAATTCAAAATGCGTCGCGGGTATTTTATATGAATGTATCTTTGAAAGGAACTGACTGTCTTCAGAAGTTTCGATGGCATTTTCATTTTATCAAAGTACCTTTAAGACAAGTCATGCCACTCGGCGGCCATCTTTAAAATGCCCCTCGGGCATGCAAGTGCAGCTCCTATCTCTTTGAATGGGGAAACATCAAATTCTCCAAAACTGTTCACCAAGCTTACGATTAAATTTCATATTTGAAATCACCAATGAATTCTGGCAACAACTGTCTCATAAATGTTATTTCTTTTGCTCAAATAGTGTTAAAAAAGCAGTCCTAAGCGCATGTCTCAGAATGCTGACTGTTTCTATAGCAACCGGGACTTCTAACGGCAGATGCAGTGACGAGCTGCCTTTACCGATTTGCGATTGGCTCTTTTGCTCAGAAGGCGGGGCTTTGTTCGATAGAGCGCCCCCCATTCAAAACTATACAAGTGACACGTCTTGGGTATTCTGTAGTTTTTGGCTGCATCCGAAAGCTCTAAAATGCTGCCTTCGGAGGCAGCATTCCAAGGCAGGAAGACATAAAGGCACGTCCGAATCCAAATTCTGCTTCACTTCCTGTCTCCGGAGGTACCTTCTTATGATCGAATTTTGAAGGCAGCATAGATGTATCCTTCGCTGTCTTTGATATCCCACAATCCTGTGCATTCCATTCCGTGACGGTTGGGATAAAAAATAAAGATGACGTCTGAAAGTTGCGTTTGGTGATCAGTTTGTGTGTAAATGTATACTTCTGACTAACTTTTTGCACTTTTGATGTGATTTCTAGCAATAAATCCGTATTATAGTAATTAAATATTCGTTTAGTTATCACCAAAACTCGTTCTATTTTGTTGTAGATCATTAAACCGTTACGCTGCTTCAGAAACCTGTCCGAAATCAGTTTTATGAGGTGCCTTTGTGCTAAAACGCTTCCTGCAAAGTCATTGCCTCATAAGGCAGCGAGGCAGCAAGTCAGCTGCCTAGGCTTTTGGACACAGCTTTTGTTTTATCTAATAAAGTAGCGTTCATGAGCGCAGCGCTGCGTAGTGTACAGCCGTTACTGGGGAAGCTGCTGTTTCTGCCACTCCAAACACACCTCCTGCTGGCAGAGCAAGAGTTTGCATTTTCAATAAGCCCGTCTCCAGATACTCACCCACATTTCATCCAAGATGTTCATGTCTTTCTTTCTTCAGTCGCAAAGAAATGGCGTTTTTTGAGGAAAACATTCTAGGATTTTTGTCCTTATAGTGGACTTCATTGGTGGCCAATGATTTCAAGGTCCAAAATGCAGTTTCAATGCAGCTTAAAAGAGCTCTACACGATCCCAGCCGAGGAATAAGGGTCTTATCTAGCGAAACGATCAGTCATTTTCTTTAAAAATATGTTTATACACTTTTTAACCTCAAATGCTCAGCTTGCTCTAGCTCTGCAATGTGCATGCGTGTCTTCACACAGTACGTAATCATGTTGGAAAGGTCACGCGTGGTTAGTTCTTTGTCTTTGTACTTCGTTTAAAAACTCCATCTCATTTTCTCCTCCAACTTTAAAATCATCCGACATCGTTGTTTTACCTTTTTTGTAAAGGGCATTTGACTTTTTTTGCTTGTTCACTTTGTAAACACTCGCAGAGCTAATGCTAGCTGAGCATGTGGTTAAAAAGTGTATAAATAAATTATTTTTAAGAAAATGCCTGATCGTTTTGCTAGATAAATCTATAAAAAAGATAAATCCCCTCGGCTGGGATTGTGTAAAGCCCTTTGAAGATGCGATGAAACTGCATTTTTGACCTTGAAATCGTTGGCCACCATTGAAGTCCACTATATGGAGAAAAATACTTGAATGTTTTCCTCAAAAAACATAATTTCTTACGTAAAGAAACATAAAGAAAGAAAGGATCTTTGGATCTTGGATGACATGGGGGTGAGTAAATTATCAGGATTTTTTTTTTTCTGGAAGTGAACTTATCCCTTAATATTAATAAGGTGGATCTGGGAGTCATATGTTTATTTGACGGTGATTTCACATTTCTTGTTTGTATGAAGGCTAAATACAAATAAAAGTCGAAAATTAATTTATTTTTACTGTTTTTATTTCTCAAATATAAGGCCTATATATCCTAGTTTTATAGGAGGTTTCATTGGCAAATTCATTTTTCAGAAGTTTGTAGGTACAGACTATTCTAGGCGTTTTTAACTTTTTTCTGAGGCTTTTAAAAATACTGTTCAATTTGATATCGAAACTAGATAAAAAAGTTCGTCAAGACAAACTTTAAGTTGGCTTGAGAAAGCCGGACCAGAAAGTTTGAAAAAGTTTGAAAAGTTTAAAAAGTTTAAGGAGTTTAAAATTTTTTAAGTTTGATGGTTTTCAGTCTGAAATAGTTTGAAGTTTAAAGTAGGTTTAAAAGCTTGAAGTTTGAAAGTTTTGAAGGCAATACATTCTGTCAGAGATAGATAGATAGATAGATAGATAGATAGATGTAGTGCTAGGGTATTCTAGGCGGTTGCTAGGTTGTTGCTATGTGGTTGCTAAGGTACTCTGGAGGGTTGCTAGGGTGTTGCTATGCGGTTGCTAGGGTACC